GATCAGTCATCTTCTCCCTTTAATCTTCTCGCTGTTCGCCCTGTCCTTGTCCCGCGCAGGGGTTAGGCATAGTTGATGAGGTTGACGGACAAGGGGCTGATGCTAAAAGAATGTCGTTCTCAAACTATCTTGAAGTCCCGAACTTGAACTACAAAAGCACCACTGAACCATGAAGCGGATGCTACGCTGTCCACAGAGCCGGAGAAATACTCCTTGACAAACAGGGACCAGGCCATGAATGAGAGTTGGAGCTAGAATGACTGGTGAAGGCTAGAGAGCCATGCTCAAGACAAATAAACCCGTCATATAATCGGGCGATATACTACCCGAGTTGCCGCTTCTGGACCTATTACTATGAAAGAAGTTTCAGAGCTGGTACTATGGCTAGAAATAACTTCATTATGCGGTCAGGAAATATTATTTTCTCCAGTTATACAAAGCCCTGGTCGCACTCGGTATCTCGAGCTAAACCTTTGGTCGTTATCCTTGCGGCGCAAGATTCCACCATAGGTTTGCGATACGTTTCTCGACAGCCTGTGAAAGGCCCAAGTCTGTGGTTGAGTGTTACACCATAAGAAGAAGCCCGAATACGCCGACACCCTGGACAACACACGATCTACAGCATACCCGAAGTAATCCCGTCAAGGAACGTTGAGAGCGGGAGGATCATGTCTATCAATAACCATGTCAGGTCATACCGTAACTTTCCAGCTCGTCTACTACAAAAGTACATATGAGAGAAGAATGCGTCTGGGTGACAAAAATAATGAGCATGAGGGATGATGACGGAGAGCTGTGTAAGGCGGCGTCAAGATAGGCCTAGCTAGACTGACTGCGCCTACAATTACTATTGTTACTGCTACTGCTACTGCTACTACTACCGCAACATTGAGATCCTTACCTTACCTACATGACCTTAGGAGAACACTGACCAACGACGTCATGGTCTTATGTTTTCCAGCTCCGAAAGGCGCAGAGACGAGATACGATACTCATTCATATGAGCGGCCCGTGGCTCTGTCTCAGCTGCAAGATGGATGAGACAAGGCAACACGAGCCAAAGATCTGGAAACAGACGAACAAACAAATAACGAAGCGAAGCCACCATGAAAGCATTCTTGCGGCGTTTTTCTTACGGTGGGCCGTAAGTAACGTTCCAGTGTTACTCATCTACAACCATACTGTGTCCGGCTAGACTGTGACTTTTTATAGATATTCTCCCATATTCTGATCTCGAGCCTCAGGGTAAAATGTGCTGTTTCTGGAGCCATGTCGCCACTTGAGATGGCGCTTGTAATGCAATGCAAGGCAATTTGTTCGACCCTAGCCTGACCGTTACCCTACTCTGAACAGGGCCTTGGATGGTTTGGACTGGATTGGATTGGATTTCGGTTCTTGCAGGGACCCAATATCAAAGCTTCAACTACCGGCGGCCCCGGCTTGTCCGTCTCTGGTCTATGATGCCGACGCCCCGTCCGTCGTCTACCACCGCCTGAAAGCCCGCCCGCCATCCCCAATGTTGTTTCGCCCTGTCGTAAACGCACAAGCCAATCAGCGACTCGAGTTTGGCACAGAATGAGCGAATGGAAACCAAATCCGCTACTTGAGCCAAGTTGAGTCGTTGACCGGGGTCCACGGGCACCGTAGCCCAGTCCAGCCAGCCCAGCCCGGTCCAGTGCACTGAGCCCCAGGGAGCAAGAAAACTTCTGACATTTAATTAAGGTGCCAAAATTAACTAGTCTAAAGCCTTACTAAGTTATACTAAGCTTGCCTAAATCTTTTTATCGCTTAGGATATAGGTCCTAAGTTTTCTTGCCTCCCCTAGTGAGCAAGCCAACCTCTCTGTAGTCAACTCAGTGGGCGAATTTCTCAACGACTAAAACCCCTGGGTCTGAAGAGAGAAAACAACCTACGCAGGGCACGGACATGTAAAGTTATTTTTACTTTGTCACGCATTGTTTCTGTCACCCTTCCCCTCGTTCGACTTTCAGTTTAGTCAACACTTACCTGTGAACTCCTTGGCGATACGTCCAGACAGGGCTTCTCTCGTTTCTGCTTCTTTCTTCTTCTTTTGTCTCTTTCAAGAGGTCTCAGCTTCTTTTCCGGACACCGCGGAAAAGCGGAGGACGGACACTAGTCTCAACGATCTAAGACAATGGAACTCTCCCTAACCCCTTGACCCTGGGCCATGTGCGTCATGCCCTCCGCGTGCAAGGTTGTATCTCGGCCGCCATTTTGTGACTGCCTGCCTCACCTTAGGTTCTACTCAACCCAGGGGATGACAGAAAACTTAGGACTAAAGCCATGCGTGACAAAAGCCGTTCGACAGTATCAAGGTAAGCTTGACAGCCTGTCTGGTCGGCTTATTTTCTCCCCCTGATGTAAAAGTATCGAGTCTTTTGACACCCAGATGTCAACTCACTGACTGCACTGTACTGTGATGAATGTCTGGTGTTTGCTGCAGGATGACAAGACAACCACCTGCTGAAAGGTCGAGAGCCAAAAACTTTAGGTAACTGGGCGCTGTGGTGCACCACTCTGTAGGTGCCACCGTCCGCCACTATCTCTCGTTGTCACTGTAGGTACTCGCATTCGGTTGCTATGTTTTGTGATTTATTATTATTACTGCTTCATTGCTATTATTTGCCCATTCTGGGCTGGACTGGGTTTCTACCCGCCACCACCATGTTGGCCAGACTCAAACTCATGATTTCAGGAACATTCCGCCCATGTAAGAAAGGGAAGCATTGCATTGCAGTACCATCTCGGCGATCGTGTAGAACCCATGGGACGAGCACAAGCCAGCAAGGTCGCTCGGCCACCAATGAACCATCTCCAATCGCCTGCTCCCCAAAATAGCTCAGCAGAAGCACCTGGTATGGATCGATGTTATCTTCAGGTATGGACCATGGACCCGTCATACCTTTACCGAACCGACGCCTAGCATAAGCATCTCCAATTGCTGCTTCAGCACCCCTACATACTCCGCAGTCCTCCCGCTTAGAAGGGTACCTCTGCTCCCTGACCAATCCTTACGGTACCTTGAGCTCCTCTGATCTGGCATGGAAGGGATGTGTTACTAAGGTTAATGGTCTGTGACCGACGCTTTCTTTAGAGAACCCGCAAACAGATGAATGGTTTTTTTTTCTTTCTTTTTCGACTATGACAGATGCCCAGCCCAGGGATCTTTTGAAGAGCGGCCCTATTACTGATGAGGCTGCAGGACGCCCCCCCCCCCCCCCCCCCCTGGCCGAGCTGTGGCACCGGACCACACCCCATCCCTAGCGTCTTGGGTTGGGTTATGTCTTTTTGGTAGACCAGCACCAGCACCGCACCAGTGCACACTTGTTCATCAGGTAGGCGGCGGCGCGGATACCACAGAGTTACAGCTGTACTCGGGGTTCACGGCCAAGAATCAGCGTCCGATTCATTGGGACTCATCCATTGCTGTCCGCTGCCGTAGTCCCGGGGCCCGCACTCCACAGCCCACAATTCCCCTAGTCTGAGGCCGAGCTCGCCGCTTGTCTTGACGTTCCCTCGGCTCATTCCTGCGCTTCTGAATGGCAGGTTAGGATCCGTAGTGTAGTGTAGTTGTTGGTGATTCTGATGTTATGTTATGCTATGCTAAGCTGCTGACTGGTGGGTGCCCGGGCCGTACGCTTTTAGGACTGGTGGTGAACTGGCACTGACGCTGCTGTTCTGTTAGGTTGCTGGCACCTGCATCGCATGGCACATGGCACGCTCTTACCTCACCTTACTCTTACAGTTTACTGCTCTTTTCATCCATTGCAAGCATTTCACAGTACAGTACAACACGGTAGGTACCCTTACACAGCCTTCCACCCGTTCCTTCCATCCCACTCTTACCTTACCTACCTAGCACCTACCTTACACTCCCACACCTCTTACACCCCGGTTGCTCCTCCCCTCCCCCATCTGAGCTGCTCCCGCACCGCACCTGCCTGTGAGGTGGATTAGGTCCGCTTGTATTTAACAATGCCTTCGTCCCCAGCTCCTTCCCGGATCCCCTCTTGATTCCCTTTTGGTCATCTACAACAAACGTCTTCGTCTTTACAAGTCAACACCACGTTCGCTATCCTCCTCACCTCCTCACCTCTCTCAACTCTCTTAGGAAGTCCTCGTCGACTCCTGTCACTCGCTTTTTATTTCACGGTGTTTTGGTTCTGGAACAACGATCCTCCTTCAAGATACGCTTCTCAACCCATATCTCTGGGTATTCAATCGTTTCCCATTGTGGATAATCAGGAACAAATACCTAGTGCAGAGACCAATTCTCAGATAGAGACCAAAGGCTTACACCAAAACCTTCTGGACTCCAACACAATCTGTCAACAATCGACTACCGGCTCTCAACTGGAAACGAGGCTTCTCAAGTGCACTTACATGGTCATCTTGGCTTTCGATTCCACACTCAGTTGATATCCTCACTTCTGCATACCCACAGTGGCTTCCAAAGCTATCACAACTTCTCTTGAAAAGGAAGGAAACCCAAAATAACCGCCATATTCGATCGCTACCACCCGTTTGGAAGACTTGGATATAGACAACTACCGTACCACGCAGCATCACTGGCCAAGGTTTTAGATATCTCTTCAACTCATCTGGCCTTGATCATCCCTGCTTCGTAGAGTCCATCGAGCATCTCAGTCACATTAGATTGTTGAAGCCCTCCGTGTATAAGTTTGAATCCTCGACTTGCACCTGAGTACAGCCTCTCGACGCTCTACGCTGAATTGTTGTCTATTTCGAGACCCCATCCACGAACTATCTCTAATTCGGACTCCTCGGATCGATTCCTGGAAACCGATTGACTGGATAAATCATTTGCTGCCCTTGTCACTCCAACGCTCGCTATAAATCCACAAGCTTGTCTTTGTGGATCACTTCGTGTATGTCACTTGAGCCTCATGAGAAGCTGTGCGTGTACTTATTTACCCAATAGTTCTATCACTTACAGATACCTCTGTAATATTTGCAAAATGGCTGGTCCCGGTGGTGGTCCCCCTCGCCGCAGCCACACCAAGTCTCGCAAGGGCTGTGATACCTGGTATGGCTCATCAATTCAAGATGACTTTATACAACACTGACAATTACTCATAGCAAGCGCCGCCATATCCGATGCGATGAAAACTTCCCCCAATGGTGAGTTGTGATCCGAATAACACTTCTTGCTCCCAAACTAACAGATGAAGCCGAAATTGCACCAAGCACAAGATTCGATGCCCTTACAACGACGTGCAGGTTCCTGATGCTGAGCGTTCTACAACGCCCGACAAGCCAGACCTGATGTGGACGCCCCAGATTGAAGCCGCCATCGCTGAATGGCAAACGACAGGCATCTTCCCGCTCCCCAGCCTAGGAATATACCCTGCCCCCATGCCACATCTGTACTCAGTTGAAGATCTCCGTCTGATCTACCACGTTGCGACGCTCTACTACCAACTAGCTACCATCGATGCTAACAATTTCACCCTTTGGACTCGCCATATTCCAACGTACGTCGAACAAACATAACACTCAAATTGGTATATACTAATTTCGACCATAGTCTTCTTCGAATTGGTGCCACAACACCCTATGTGATGCACGCTCTGCTCGCTTTCTCTGCTATGCATATTGCTTTCCTCACCGACTGCCCTCTAGTTGGCAGCATGGCCTATGAGCACCGCGGCATTGCCCTCAAGGGCCTCCAGGAAGCCATTGGGTCTTTCTCCCGAGAGACATCGGATGCCATTCTCGCTGCCTCCCTCGTTCTCTCCTGGCAAGCCACTGACTGGTAAGCATTACGAATTCAGAATCTAGTGACGGGAATTAACAGCATAATTAGGCGCAGCTGGACCCAGCTGATGCAAGGCACTTCGTCGGTAAGTTGAACTGACTGTGATAATAGAACTCCACTGACCTGTAGATAGGTTATCGATGCCATGGATCCCTGGAAGCATGAGTCCCAGTTCGGAGATTTCATTGCTGAGAGCAGCACGTTCCCAACCGCCCCGCCATCTCCCGGAAAGGATCATCGCCCAAGCCAGCCTCGCCCTGAGGATCTGGAGGCCTACCAGCGCACGCTCGAGCAAATTCAGAAAGTCGAGGCACACCTCAAGTACCACAAGGAAGATACTACACAGATTCAGCACCTCATTGGCTTCCTCCGAGGCTCCCGCAAGATAAGCCCTACACTTTCCATTGCTCAGCAATTTGAGCGTCTTCAACCTCTCCGCAAATGGCTCTTCTGGATGCCCGTGGGCTACCTGCAGAACTATCATGGCTCTCCCAACTCGCTGGTCATCATTGCTTATCTGTATACGGTGGCTCTCCTTATGGAACGGCTCTTCCCAGAGATTGGCGCCGCCTACTTTGGCAGTCTGTCTATTTCTCCCGTTGAAGAGATTGCTCGGCGACTCATGTCGATCAATGTCTCTGGTGTCGGAAGCGAGATGCAAACTCCCTTGACCCTTATGGAGTTCCCCATCGACACAGTCAGCCAGTTTCGGTCGCGTATGGGATGGATGCACCCCGAAAGAACTCCCTCTTTTCCTCAGTTTAATCCTCGCAATTTCACTATCCAGGAGGAGGTTCCTACCCACGAGTCGTATCTGTACGGAAATCCTGCTTTCAGCTACAGCACCGAGGAAATGCCCATGCTCAACGCATCTGGACCGCCTTCTGCAGTGAGCCCCCTGGTCTTGTCTCCATATCCAAGCCAGCAGTACCTCAATGTACCCTCACCAGCGTATAATGGAGCTTACAGCCCAGCATCCTCGACTTTCGAGGGCTCTGTCGCATACAGCGATACCGAGGAGTATGGATCATGGGACATGAACACTCTACAAGGCGGGCCATCCTCATCAATTCAGGACTCCCCTCAAAACTATGGCGTCGGGTTCGTTACTCCTGTCCAGGCTGTGTGGATCTAGGCTCCTCGAGACGACCACTGGCTCAATTTACACAAAGAACATTAGGGGATTGACCGTTACCACCCAGGATGAACACGACACCTACATACCCGCCTCCAGAGGACCCGAGTCTATACATGACTTCCATGACGAGCACCCAATCTCCGTATATCAAATCAGAGCAATTCGGCATGCTTCCTCTCCCCGAATCTCCCGTCTCGTCGAACGCACCGCTCCCACGACATCGCCATACCTCGTCCATGTCCTCTGCCCCGCACCCACCTTCTCCTCTGGCACGACCTCCTGTGATGCACCAATATGATGACAATACCCGACGTCGAGCCACCTGATACCAAGTCCGACTTCGATTCACCACCGATCTGTTTTTGCTGTTATGATTTAATTCGATATTCTGCTTTTCCCGAAAAACGACGCAGGCGCCATGTATATCACACTCCTTCAACGCTCGCTACACCCGAACCCCGCGTTAATGACGCTGACACTCCCTACCACTCGACTAACACGCGCATTTGGAAGTGCCGTGTTATATTTCACACTCCTTATGATACCCATTAGAGGAACGACATTCCTTCATACCATGATACCCGATAGACACTCCTTTATGACGACTTATGAATTTCGATCGGTTATAGAATTCACTCCCTACGGTTTCCGCCAACGATGGCGGAAGAACCGTATCCGGAAAGCATAGCGACTGTTTTTTGTTTATTTTTACTGCGCCTGGGAAAAAGTTTGGCGTTGAAAGGAGTTTTGAGATAGCATTTGTTTGGCGCTTTCGATCATGTTTTATTGTTTGATGTATGTATGCTTGGGATAGGTGCTTACCGCGCCCGACTCTTCGCAGAGCCTGGAACAGCGATGGAACAACACGGAACAGAAGCACAATTGCATTTGGGCTTGGATTTACCTAGCTCTACAAGAGAGGCCATGGCTGGATATGTACGCTTGGATGATACGAAACATGCGATGGATATCGTGTGAGGATAGACTGCTTGTTTGTATGTTTGCCACGACTATGTTTTGGATATGTAGGAAAGATTGATGTCTGATGGCAGTTCTTTTATGTTCCGCCCGGAGGTTAATTGATAATCTACGATGTTTGCACTCATTATACTATTTGTACGAGTGTTATCTAAGATGTTAAGTTTGTGTAAAACCTATGAATATCTCGACAAGATAGATCTAGGCAATACATCACACATAACACCTTGTTATAGAAACCTTATCTTATGCACATACACTTTCAGGCAACATAAACACTCGACTATACCGGAGATGTGACTAAGTGCTGAGCCAGGTACCTTTCATTTGAAAGTACATATACCAAAATAATAGACTCGCTCAGCTTCTAGCCACTACACACAGCAAATCCTGATAATATCGATCAAAACTCTGATGGTCTATATAAATTATGAGAATTAATTCATCTAATTAATTTTCCACTTGTTTCTAGTTGAGTTGGTGGATTTGGGCTTCTTGTCGCCGGTTTTTTTCTGAACAGGGCAAGGGGACAGACTTGACTGGTAAGTAACTCGGAATGAAAGATACATCTGAGTCAACACATCTCAACCCAGTCACTAGTCTTCCTGTCACCACACTATATATGCTGTAGATTATAGTCGATGCTGTGTGTTAGGAGTAGTTAAGCTGTAGATCTCGGCGATGAAGCCAGTATCAAAGGCACCTTGTGGCACCGTACTTTGGGAGCGATGGCTAGTAAATTCGTGATGAGTAAGGGAGACGATGGTTCTTGTGCCTTCGAAGCAGATTATACAGTTCTTGCCAACCTAGATTTGAGAGTGTGGATATCGTAATCGATGAACAGGCTATGGTGTCTTATGTCTTATAGTGCAGTCCATGGAATGTGCCTCCTGTAGATGTTCGGCTTTGTGGGCATCAAGTACCATGCTTGCTTAGGGGTTTGGTGACTGGCGTGAAGGCCTACATTTAACTGCTGTTCTTTGATGATTGTAGAGAGCTGGTGGTACCAGTGCATTACAACCAAATCAAGCATGCTGAAACCAACTTGCATTCGATTCTCAACAGACCTCTTTGTATTATCGAGACATGGAAACGTGCGACAGCATAAGTTGTTGGGAATTCAAATCGAGCCTACTTCCACTACTTTATACTCAAAGTCGCCCCTTTTATTGCGAGGCAGCGACCGAGGCCTCATCCAACATCAACGCCCTTATAGCCATCAGTGCATAAGCCACTATCCAAACATCCATCCAGTCTTCGACCAGTCCCAGATACGTAGTGGTGGGCCATGGTTAAAGGAAACAAGAAGCGTCAAAAGAAAAAGGAGCGCAATTCCATCCAGGTTGTTGGTATCAATATTCCATTCCGGTCTCCTTTCCAGGAACTCATATCCAGCCGGCTCACAACCCCGAGACCGGACCGGATTTCCTGTCTAAAAATACAATAAAAAAAGACGACTGCCGACCGTTTGGAGGCTCTTCTACCTCGGAAACGTGCGCCTGTCAATGCTCATAACTCCAAGGCGCCTGTGCGAGAAAACAACGATTGAAATGGATCATGTATGGGGATCGGTCCTGTCAACTCCGGTATCATATGTCGTCGATGCTGCATCTCTTGAGCATCGTCGTTCGTCTTCGATGTCATGTTCAGACATTCGTGAGTAAATGTATAAAACTTGTGAATCAGCAGGCCGCATTGGAATGCCCACTCAAGCAGAAGTGCTACTGCGAGGCCTAATAGACGGTGTTCGGTTCGGTGGCGGTAATCGAGCACTATCACTACGATCACGACCAGCTCCTTGTCGCATAGCATCACTATAGCTGGGTACTGGTGGTTGGCGCGGACTTGGAGTTTGCCGTGAGGGAAGCACCGTAGCGGAAGAGTTACCTCGGCTGCGGTTCATTACGCGAATCAGAGGCGTATCCTCCTCGCTGTCACTTCCATATCTACCATCTTCGCTACCTGAATGGTCGGGGCTTTGGTATTCAGGAGGTGGGTTTGTCGCATCCTCGAGATGCAGATGCAGAGGGTTATGGTCGTGCGTCTCCTGTTGAGGTCCGACATTGCTGCTAGCTTCGCCGTTCTCCTCGTTGGGTACAAAATGAGCCAAAGAAATATCGGTCGAGCTTCTAACTGGTCCGGGACTTGTTGGAGGAAGGACGCGAAAGTTACCACTGCGTGTTCGTCCATGCGAAGGGTTCAAATCGTTAGATGGGTTGCGTGTGTTGTAAGAGCTTGCAGTGATGGAGTGGCTGTGTTGCCTGCCTTGAGGATAAGTGTTGCCGTCTTTAGTGCCAGCTTCCAACAGTATGCTACCCTGCTCAGATCCATAAGGTGGCGGAGGAGCGAGGCTTCCAGTCACAGGAGCCAGACCCCATTTCTTGACGTTGGCCTCGATAAAGACGAAGCCAGCCTGGCCAAGGTTGACGTGAATAGTTGCAGGACCGTTTGCACCGATGGCAGGGAAGAAGTTTTGCGCCTTAAGTCCGTGAACAACCTCCTCGAGCTTCTTACCGTTGCGAGTGAAGAAGATAGCACCGGTTCGAGGACGATAACCCACACCAACGACATCGCCCTGCACCAGTGGGGGACCATAAGGAGTCGCGCCAAATGGTTGGTTATAGCGGCGGGCACCGGTAGATTGGTATCCAACAGAGTACTTGTGATAACCTGGCATTAAAATCAGTAAATGGCCGTGGAGTAATAAAGAATGTGACAAACTCACCCGGCAGTCGGAAAAGTGGATAAGGCTTGGTAGCCATGCCGATACTGAGCAGAGTGTTTTCGGGCTTTTCGTAGATCTTGGCCTCCCAGTAGTAGACATCGTTTTGCTTGGGAACAGGAAGATTGCTCATGACGGTGCATTCCGAGTCAAAGAATTCGATTTCGGTACGGGCTTCGACAAAGCAGTTGGCGATCTCCAGTTCAGGCTCGAATTCCCATGCAGAGACACCCTTTTCTTGTATGGCGAGGTACTGAGACAGAGATATATCAGTCTGCATTGATTCGGGAGGGTTTGCGGTGACCCAGGCTATTGGACGCAACAGATGTTAATAAAATACATTCGCCAGATTAGCGAGCGCGAATGTTTGGTAACATACCCTTTGCACGTAGATATTCCTGACGAGACATATCATCCATGACCTCGAGGGCCTCAGCCTCATCGCGTGCGAACGCTTGTTCATCATCGTATTCGCCAGGTCGACCGAGACGATCGAGAATGATGCGACCAGTACTCGCGCAGCCAGAAACCCAGAAGATAAAGATGACCAGGGCGATGAGGACGATGGAGCCGAAGGATGACACGAGGCCGATGACGACGCCTGTAAAGGCAGACGAAGGGTTGGAAGAGAGCCCCATGATGGGCGATGGGCAAAGTATTTAGTGGCCGCCTCTTGATTTGATTTGCTTGTTCTTATTCAATTTAATAAATTAATTCAAGGAGAATTGCGTTTGGTTCGGGTTGTATAGATCGTGTTGTGCGGATTAGTCGATCGGTCGGTCGGTCGGGGACAATCAAGGCACGGATCTTGGCGGACGGCGTCACCGCCGCAAATAGTACATGTAAGAATCAATCGCGCGGCGAGATAAGAAGAAGGAGACGTGGCTGAGGAGTCAGTCGAAGACGCAGTCGCTAATATGGGTGAATGGAGGAACCGAAAACGCTGAAAGAAGGTGAAAATGGACTTGAGGAGGATGGGGAATGGGGCCAAAAGATTTGGTGGTGATGGTGAAGGAGGAGAATGACGAAGACGGGGGAGGGAGAGACGAGAGAGGCGAGGCGTCTTTGGGTGGTTGGCTGTTAGAGGATTGGATCAATTGTGGAGGAGGATTAGCCTACCTACAGTATTATACGGGCCTAACTAGATTTTAGCCCATGCGATATCGCCACTTTGAACGCAAACTGCGGATTATCAGTAAGTCAAAGTTGTGAGATGATTCTTTAAAGCTTTCTTTTAGAGAGATACTGATTTAATACCAGTTGTTTAAAAGTTCATCTATGCAGCGAACAATTGTCCCTCCCACTGACAAAACACTATCGTCATAAGCCTATTGAAGCAAATAGTGGACGTTACCAGTGACCTCCTAGTGGGGTGACCTCTACCACTTCCTGACGGGGCACCTGCAGGGGGATCACCTTCAGTGAGAAGCCTAAAGAGGGGCCCAAGAGTCGACGGAAGCAGCGGGAGCGGGCTGATGGGACATGATAACGCTTGCATCGTGTTAGCGCGGGTCACCACTTCACGCTGCATAGCACTAACACTCAACGTGGGGCCTCATGTCTCCCAAGGCTGAACCCATCATCACTCAATGGAATCTCAAAGTGGCTGAACCTGGACCTGGAACCTTGTCAGACCAGGACAGGAACCAAAAGAAGCGAAGCGAATCGAAATGCGACGCTGATGACGACGTTGAGAGTTTTGTTACTGACTTTACGATATTGTATCTGTGACGCGAGCAGTAGCAAAATCGCCTAATAATCACTCACTCATTCCCATATCGCATAATACCAAGCAATGCAGTTTTGTTTCGGCCTGGTGGCTGTACCCTCACAGCTAAGACGCCCCCAGGTTTCACATCTTCCATGGGTCTTAGCGCCTTATCCATCAAAACAACAGAGCATTTCAGCTCGTGTGCTATTTTGGGCTTTCGCGATACGCCCTGCGTCTATTAATTTCCATGAATTACACGTCAGCCAACGAATTGTCAATTCCCTCAATCTTGACATTATTCTAATTAATATCCTGAGGATCTGAAACATGAGATGCTTATGGAAGGTAGTAACATGTTTAGGGAGACATGTGAGACATTGGACGATAGTTTCATTATTGGCCCTTTCTAGTCAAAGTAAGCAACCCGTTGCAGAGTGAAGATCATAACCTCGGCAACCATCATGTCTGAAACCTTCATAGTTTAATATTGGAAGTACCTTCTCATTAATGACGCGCTTGATAACATCTACACATGCACGACAATAACTTCATACTCATCTCAAGTCAGAGCATCATGTTTATTCAATGCATTGCCTATCTCATATTCTAACAATCTCAGCATATCAATTCATGTCCGTGAGAATCTGTTACCATGCCTATTTACATTAACGTTATACATCTACATGCACGCAGTGAACCCAACCCAAAACCCAAAGCAAGAAAGTCGCATTTTACCTTAAAACCCATTCAAGGCTTTCGTCATACCCTTATCACGGTAACCTTAACACTCCTCTCCTCGTCCTCGCCGATATTCCCTCTGCGCTCTTCGTGCCCTTCTCTCCTCCCTCGCCCTCTCCCTCTCAAGCTCCCTCAGCTCAGGCATCGGGTGGTGATAGCTCTTGGTACCCAGGTCGCCACTATCGTCTGTGGTACGAGTTACCTGCGATCCATCTAGGAGACTCTCACTGACCTGGCTATCGGCGCGGGTGTAGCTCTCGGCACGCTGGTAGCTGAAGTCACGACGGGCTGCTCGACCAGCTTCACGAAGACGACGGGCCTCGGCGCGCATGCGCTCTGCCTCACGGTTCTCGCGACGATCAGCGGTGGAGTAGACCTTGCGGATGCCGCCCTTGGACTTGGTAGGTGTGGTTGTGGGAGTAGTCTGACGGTCAGAGAGAAGGTTTGTTGAGACGTTGGATTCTGTGCCGGGGTTGGTAGAGCCGTCCCATTCGGAGCCTTCACTCTCCTTGTTCAGTCCACCGACGCGGGCAGGTCTTTCATGGCGATAGCTGCGGAGTTCCTTCTTGGCTGCAAGTTCGGCCTCTTCATCTTCAACGCCCGCTTCGCCAACATGACGGCTAGTCTTCTTGCCCTTCTTTGCACGTTCACGATCTCGCTTCTCTTGCTTGCGGCGTCGCTTCTCACGTGCACCAATGTCGCTTGCTCCAGCTGTGATACCCGTAAGTGTTGTGCTCTCTGTAACTACAGTTGTGTTATCATCGTCCACATCCTTGTACACGCTGCCACCACCGAGGTTTGTTGGTCGGGTTGCGTTGGAGAGAATAGTGCCGTTAGGTCCAGTGCGTCGGAGAACAGTAGATTTGTAGTCATCCCAATCTGTTTCCTTGAATTGGAAGCCACCGTTCTTGGCCCAGAAGAAGAACCAAATACCAGTGCACACGAAGGCGACACCGATCAAGGCAAAGAGAAAGAAGAAACCGGCATTGCTGATGTTGTGAGGGTCGAACGAGCCTGAGTCGGGCTCGACCGATGGTTTATGTCTATCGTTCTTGTCGTCGTCCTTATTATCTCGAGCTAGCAGCACTTTGCTGCCCTGAAGTAAGTGTCCCGAGAGTGTGGAAAAGGCCTCGGCAGCACGCGGGGCGTGCTGTGTGAGTGAAGGCGAACTTCGCAATGAGCGGATGATAGCGGGTGCCATGATGGAATGAAGTAGAATGAAGGGGTCTCAGTCGGAGATGGATATGTGCAAGCTAGGCTAAGGGTGCTGTAGCCCAGCCGAGCTCAATCGTAAATAAGACCAAGCAGTCGACGTGAGTATTCTTGATATATCAATCGAACGAGTGTGGCATGTGACGGATATCGTTAAATGAGTCGTGTGGTGTTGATTATGGGAATAGTGTTGTTTCTGAGATAAGGAGAAAGAAATAATAGAGAGAAGGAAGAGTGTTGCGTGGCTCAGGCTGGGCGATGGTGCTTGGTTAACCCAGAAACGAGGCCTGTAAAGTGCGTGGCTGGGATGCGCAACGGGTGGTTGGGCGATTTCAACGTGCGCGCCAGAAATTCTTACAACGCTCTCGAAGTTTGCCAAAAGGCTAAAGATAAGCAAATGATATCAATTTGTTTCAAATGACATCAAATTAGGTCTGGAATTATTTCCTTGTAAGGATTTTATCAATCTCAACCGCTTTGTTCGACCTCATTACAAAATCCAGCCACAATCTTCAAATGACGTCGAAAGTAAACAACACTCGATCGCTGACCAGGCAACCTCGCACAGGAAGCCCATTTGGTCATCAACCAATGACAGCTGTCCACGACTTTAATGCTCCAGATTTGCAATGCACACGCCCCCTTCAAGTTTTATTCGTGCATCTTGGGAATGGGACTGACGAGCTCTATTTTAGCCCGCATAAAAAGAAGATTCTAGGGAGTAGCGCCCGACTTTGTGAGACAGCTATTGTCCCTACCTAAGGTTTGCATTAAGCATCGTGATACTCTGAACCATCTCGTTCAAGTTTGACATTGGAATGCCACTAGGCTGCATATTTGAGACCTGACGGACCATGTCTGATTCTTACCCCTGAGACAGCTCGCGTTTGCATGAATATCTCGGGCGCTTACACTGGATGAAAGCTGTTCTAGAGCGGTTAATCTACACATTCAATAGATCGCCAGTTTCTTATGCACAAACTCGGACACCTGAGACAGGAGAAAAGGGATGGCTAACAACATAATCCCAATGCTATGCTATGGTTCAAACTCAATCATATCCACCCAGTCATTGCCTTGTTACTCTCTCCAATCCCAAATAACACCTGCCGTTTCGACCAAAATCCTTCGTCTTCGTTTAGCCCACTCATAGTCAATCTGCCACCCTCCCTCCACAATGATCAGCCGAATATCTTGTCACAGTTCACCAGTAGATGTCTCGAAACAAGTAGAATAGAGAAGCCAAACATGCATGTCATGCTGGTTGTAACATAAGATTATTCTCTGCCGGGCAGCAGATAGAGGCGCGAACCTCATTTGCCCGTACAATCTATCGTTCTGATGACAAGGGTCCAATAGTAGTTCCAGCCAAGTCTCAATTTCCTCCTCTTACACCATGCTCAACAATGCAATACACAAGCCGTATCCATAGCCGTCTCTCATGCAGCTTCCCGCAGGGGTGCTTGCTGATCAGATCGCAGCAAGAAGGGATGCAGACCAATAATGGGAAATTGTCTCGTCCCAGTCCAACCAAGACCAGTCCCAGTGAACATCGATCTACACCTTTGAGGTAGTATCGACCATGCATCGGAAAAAGACACTTCGGATGAAAGCCACCCCGAGGTGAGACTTCTTGTTCATTGAGCACGTACTGGTGCCCTTCCACTACCCAACCAAACTCCAAAACAACCCATCCGGGCGAACATGATTTCCGAATAAAGAAGTTGAGCTTTCAGTACGCGCTGTTGGTACTGGTACCTCGAGGTGGTAGAACCGGGCTGGTAACTCAGCTCGACCATCAACTGGATGCTTCCACCATCACCGCTTTTGGGGTATCAACTTTCTGCCATGAAGCCAACGAGAGGGTTTGACCGAAGAATAGAAGCATAAAGATACAAGTTCAGTGAACAAACCCAACTCTGAGCTGAAGACTGCAGCTTGAATGTAATCAAAATGCCCACCGAAATGCTCATCGATAGCCAAGATTCAAGATTATAGGTGAAACGCTACGCTGCCCATCCCGTAGACATCTGAATGCAGGAAATAAGAGAGAAGAAATAGATATAGTTCAAAAACAAAAATGCAAAAAACGCGCTGATCATCAACTTTGTCATCTCTCATAAGAAAAAAATCATCAATAAATGTAGTCGTCCATAGCAAAGGACGGGTCATATGGTGCATGATTTCCAGAATAACCGCGGTGATGCGAGTCAGAACGACTGGGAGTGTGTGGTCGGTAGGGGAGAGCCTTCTGCTCAACTCGGCTGCGGACATCTTCGAGCTGGTAGTAACTGCTGGCGCGGTCGCTGCCAACTCGAGAACTGCCGGTAGGTCTTGAGAAGGTGATCTCGCCTCCATCGCCGCACTCAATCTCGGCACCCGATACTCGCACGACGGCCGAGCCTGACACTTTGATCGTGACATTGTCGGTATCGCTTGAAGAAGAACGGGTGAGGCCAGTGGTGTTGCTTCGCTTGTACTCGCTATCATCATGGCTGCCGCTGCTTCGACTGCTCCCGCCGCCAAGCCGAGGGTTACTAGCTTTGCGAAGGGTTTCGGCAGTCAATGGCATGGCGGGACCGCCATTCATGTCGTCTTGGTATCGCATGGCGTCCAAGTATTTATCCTCATCCAAACTGACACCTCCGCCACCAAGTGAGCGATCATCGTAGTAGGAATCTCGTCTAGTTCGGGCAGGCACAATGTCAATTCCACGCTGTTCATATGCAACGGAGCCTCGTCGAGTGCGAGCAGGTACAAGATCAGCACCATGATGCTCATAAGCGACAGAACTGCGTCGAGTGCGGGCCAAAGCTGTACGACGATCGAAATTGGCCTCGGGAGAGTCCGCAAAAAGACCGGGACTGTCATTGAAGTCTTCATCGTCATAGCCTTGGTCGACAAACCCAACACGGCTACGGCCCGAAGGCGGTGGCCGCGAGGGAGTTCTTGTCTTTTGCCTTGTCAATGACTGAGGAGGGGGGCGGAACGGAGTGGTTGGAGGAGGCATTGCAGACTTGGGTCGTGGGATACTGTCAGGAGGAGGCATACGCCGGCGATCCTCGTCATTCTGCTGAGGCCTCTTGGAACGAGAGGCACGTCTAATGAGGCGGGGATCAGGCTGATCCTCCTCTTCAAAGTCATCCTGGGGATACCCAACGTTGGATGGGGAAGGCTGCTGTTGCCGGAAACCCATGGATGAAGCTGGCCGCTCAAAGCGGTTCCTGAGGTGGGCGCTTGCCTGCTGCGAAGGCATGTCAAAGAACCCAGGTGTTCCAGCACCTGGGCCAGGCGAAGGCGGAACGCCGACCACTGAGGGAGACTGTCCTCCAGGGAAGTAAGGTGGTGGCGGGAATGATCCGACGGGGAAAGAGGGCTGAGAAGCTTGGGCATGGTGCCAGCCAGCATTGGAAATCGGAGGAGCGGTTTGTCCTGGGTAATAGCTATGAGGTCGAGTCTGAGCACGGGGACGCATGCCAGAGACGGCAGGCTGCTGGACACCATAACATGAAGGATCCTCAACACGTCCTCGGCGATATTGTTGAACAACAGGCTCGGTCTTGGTGTGGGTGAGGGATGTTGGGCGAGGTCTTCTCATAGGCTTGGGCTCTCGTTCTTTGGGTGGTTTGGCTTCGGCTCGGACCCTCCGTTGTTGCTGCTCAGCAGCTTCTTTCTGCTTGCGCTCTTTACGACGTCGATCTTTATCACGCTGTTCACGAACTTCACGTTCATAGTCTCGGCGGGGACGCTCTTCCCTACGAGGGGGCTCTTCATCAGAGAGCCCTTCACTGGGAGGAGAAACCTGTCGCCGGCTGGTATGTCGCCTGGTTTCACCGCGAGACTTTCCTGTGTTGGGACGTTCCTTGGGTGGACTTGCGGGACCGGGAGCTTCAGAAACAGCATAGCGACGGGTAGACTGGATGCCCTCGAGGATAGAGCTGCCTGAATCCTCCTCGGCATCCTCGACGTAGCAGACGTGGTTGGACATGATGTGGTTAGAAGATCGAGTAACTTGAGAGCGAATTCGGCTCCAAGAAGAGGCAATTCGATGAGGGGGTTCGACGGGATCGAACAGGGACCACGCTTGGTGGGACGGCACAGTTGGTGGATGAGATCGCAAATCCAGGCGGTGAGAGCGCCGGTGGCGTTGTTGGTGACGATATTTGCAATCGCGAACGCAGTACTTTAACGTCCCCTTTCGTGAAACCAAACAAGCGACATGTGAAAGAAATCGAATTCGTTGACCAAGACAGCTGGAGCCGAAACAAGTCGTGAGTAAAATGTCGCTGGTGAGTTGGATACAGAAGGCGGTGACGATAGTGGCATAAACCAGGGCGCTTTTCGATGGAGACGCAAGTAGCGATGGATATGTAATGTTCGATACTGGGTAGATGCTGATGCTATAATGTTGTTCGAGTTGAATATAATGCTCGACTGGAAGTGAAAGCAGAGCGAGGAATCGAAGAAATATGTTTATTTTAAAAAGACAATGTATCAAACTGTCATGGGAGAAAGACAAGACAAGAAGGAGGGGAGGAGGGGGAAGGAGCGATGGGCATGGATGGACGGGATGGTCTGTTTTTAATAAAAGTGTCCAGGTGGTGGTAATTTCAGGGCCTAGGGGGGTTCAGCTTTTTCTGGGTTAGAGAGTGTGGGGGCGTGTAAGTATTCAGATCCATATGTTACCGGTAGTTTTAGTGGCAATGAAGCACTATTACCGCCCAGGGCGGACACGCAGCCACAGGCCGTTGTGGCCGTTGACGTTTGATAGATTGAGCCAACGATGAGAGGCTATTTCATTCAGACCCCACGAGTAGTTATGTGAACAACAAAGAGTGGATTATGCCATAGAAAACTCGATACCTCAAGCTTGAAGTGATAGGAAACACTATACAATTGACAGAGAAGGAGGGAAATGAGAAAGAATGACAGAGCCCAGGTGTGTGGATGGGCGTGTAAGTATTCAGATCCATATGTTACCGGTAGTTTTAGTGGCAATGAAGCACTATTACCGCCCAGGGCGGACACGCAGCCACAGGCCGTTGTGGCCGTTGACGTTTGATAGATTGAGCCAACGATGAGAGGCTATTTCATTCAGACCCCACGAGTAGTTATGTGAACAACAAAGAGTGGATTATGCCATAGAAAACTCGATACCTCAAGCTTGAAGTGATAGGAAACACTATACAATTGACAGAGAAGGAGGGAAATGAGAAAGAATGACAGAGCCCAGGTGTGTGGATGGGCGTGTAAGTAAGCTCAAGGTGCGACTGTAGAGGAAGCAAGGGAGAATCTCATCAGAAAGGAGGGGGTGGCTCTACTACCACGGGACGATGGACGATCAATCAAGCGACTCAATGCTGGAGCCAGCACAGCAATGGAACTATACACTGCAGTCAGTCAAATCAAATCAAATCAACCACGTCAAGTCGATGAGAGCAATGACGAAGGCACTGACACAAAAGCAGAACAAGACGCAGATAGAGATTGGTTGTCGTTTGTTTTTACTTGCTCGTTTACCCAAAATATCTTGATTCATCAGCACCAGAGAAGTCAGCAAGTGAGGCACTCACTCAATCCTCGTTCATCCAGCAACGGATCACTACGTGCACTATTATTAACACAGCAACCACAAACATAGACGTCCGCCCGTTCGTTCATGCTTCCCGCCTCTTGCTTCCCGACTCATGTAATGAATGTCAATGACTCCTGAATGCGCTGTATCGTATTCGTCAGCATCTATTTCCTGTCCTGTCTCTTACCATGGACACTTCAGAGGTGGCAGGGGAGCCTTGAGGGTCTCGCGCTCCGGCCCGCCTCACTCAATGCGCTGGTAGTTGGCATTTTCTCCTGCTCAGCTAAGCAACATAGCAGCCCCATATTCCCTTCTTCGCTCCAAATTCCCGTCTCTCATTCCTTTCTGAAGATTTAAAACTCAAAATACCATAGAAAACAGTCATGCCAGAAATGAAATAAAGAGGTGGGGGTGGCTACTGTACTCAAACCAGGGTCTTCACTTTTTGGTCGTGGTTCTGAATGGAATGGATTATGGAGCCATCCCGCTCAAGGCCACCAACAAGCAAGCGAGCTGGATGATGGAGTTTTCACTAAGCTTCGAGTCATCTCAAAACTATGCTGGGGTATGCCTGCTTTGACTCAAAAGGCAAAACAACTATCAGTCGATATGGCCTCTTTAGATGGAAAATCTCTGCTTTCTAGTTCTAGTCTCGTTGAATACTCTAAGGCCCGTATATAGTCACGATATCTAAACTACAAGTGCATTATCGATGATGGCCAAAGGTAACTAGCCACCGAACCCCAAGTTCTGGCTCATTTTCACCGACTTCAGCCATCAACTCAGACCAATCCATGTCAGGATTACACATGGGCTCTGGCAATTCATTGAATTGTCATGTGAGTTGTTCTAAATCGTGAAACATTCGGGATGCAAAATACCAGCAAACAGTCGCTAAACCACATATACATTCATACATACAAACCACAAGTGAGGCGGTTAATCACTGGCTCGCTGTCAATAAAAGCTGCTAGACGCTTTCGAATCCCGAATCCTAGCGACCCAGCAACCCGACCCAGCCCTCTGCGCCGCCGAGAATGGATCTGATCTGTCGACACGACCCCAGATGGTGTGCCCTGAAAGCCCGCATTTGAGGGATTGTTGAGAGACTTTCGGGCGGGTCTGGGTGTTATCTTACAGGGAATGCCTTTGTATGACTGGCGCCAGTCCCAAGCAGTCAGGCCCAACTGTGGATCTTATTCAGAGCCTTTGATCCAACGATTCCTTTCGAATCTTCCTCGCCTTCTCTGCCTGCCAGTCACGATGTCCGCTGCCAAAACCTGCATTGCACACCTGGACGAGGCTGATGGCACACCCCTCCCAGATGAAGAAGAGAAAGATTGTGGCTCACTCTTGAGGAGTCGTGGTTTCTTACCAGCGGACAAAACTGCTTTGAATACTACGCTTGGTGCTGAAACAGCTATGTTGAGATAAACCGCGGCTGACTACAGAATTTGTCCCATCCAAACCTCGAGGAAGCCGAGAAGAAGCCTAACAGGGTTGTTCGCCGTTAGATGGACCGTTCCCGATAGGTGACAGGTAAATGACAGGCCCGAATCTCAACCGCTCTTCTAGGCAGATCGGGCTTGTGCACACATGGCACAAGGGCTTGACGACGTAGCACAAGATACACAGAGCAGGATAGCCATGCCGAACTCGCCAAACGGCTGTGCCTCTGAGAAATCAATCATGATCACTGAGCATCGTACAGAGCTTAAAGATGCCCGATACCCTCAAGAGGGGCGTAAAACGCCATTCCGATTGTCCGTTGACATTTCTAGCCTCAAGACGTCTCCATTGATCTACGCCTCCACCAAAGTGCCGTGCTTAGCCCGCCCCCGGGGGCTTCTTCACCTTCGTGCCTAACTGGGCGTAGACCTTTGCCCAAGCTGGCTCAATTCCCATGCTCGGGTACCAACAATGAACCCGATCTACATCAAGTCAATGCCAGACGTGAATGCAGCGCGGGGTACACGTGGGATATCGAAGCACCGCTGTTAAACCTGGTCGAGACAAGCTGTCTGCCATCCATGTCTGGGACTTGTGACTGGTTGTTGCGATTGAGTTGAGGCTCCGGGCTTGGCCGTGTAAGTTTTGAGGTTATTGAAAAGTTGACTCATAGCAGGAGGAAGAATGTGTTTCATTCACTTGTGACAGCGACTCTTTTCATTTCTCTGCGATTCCTCCTCAGAAGGGCCAAAAATTACTCAAGTGTGCTGTCACTTGTTTCAACGCGCTTGCGGCGCTGTCGTTTCTATTTGACAGGTGTAAGAGATGGCTTTACCGCAATGACCATGCTTGATGCTTGCACGGGCCTGATGCCCAACCTCCAGCGGCCATATACAATGGCCTCGGAGTCTTTCCATGGCCAAGTTCGGGCGGTTAGTCCCGCGCTCGGCGATGCTGCCGCCAGTTCATGCCCTGTGATATTATGGCGATCCGGCCCAGCCTCCGTTCAAGCATCATGTCGCACGATTCGTCACGGCATGAATACGTGTCCAACACAGTTTCCTGTCCGTTGGAATTGGTGGGTCTACTTCCGAGCCCCGGAGCGAGTGACTCCACTCTCTCCGGCTTCACCTCCTTGTCTTTTCGCGCCCAGACCGGAGATTGGCCTCCGCTTTCTCCGTCCTACCACCGACGAACAAGCACAGTATCGCTTTAAACTTGTCATGTGAGTTATTTTTGTTTCATACTCAAACCTAGATTCGGACGGTCGCTTCCGAGAACAATAACACATGCAATTGTAACTATGTCGTCGTTTGAACTGTGCCCGATTACCAAGCAGCCAGCTTGGAGTAATTCTGATACTGTACTGAGTCGGTGCCATACATCCTTATCAGCTGACTTCGATGAGTCGCAATCGAGGATGAACACGCTGCTTATTCTTATTCGATCTACCCATCCAATAATCGACATCTGTCGTCCCTGTCCACGCCCCTACACGAGCATCGACGTGCACCCTCTAGCCTCTCATGTTTACCCTCTTCTTTGGACATTCACCCACCAACTTTCCATCTCGACGTCTCAGATTTCAGACCAAGATGCAATATTCGGTCAATTCGAGGTTGTTGATTGGCTTCTTGTCTGCTTATACATGGCACGCTGATAGTTTGTGTTTCCCAAGATCTCTGGGACTGTTACGAGCTCGCTGCTGTGGTGCCCTCGCTCTATCTTGACAGGCACGGAATCGATTGACCATCTCCAGGTTGTGAATTGCCGGGTTCGAAGCTGCTGCTCGCTAAACCAGACGGGGATACCTTTCAGCCGGGGTTCTCTCGGATGGCTTGCCTTGGCTTTCAGATTGTGTGGGGATAGGCTAGACGTGCATCCAAGGCATTGACGCAGCTCTACATGGCCGTCAGCCGGCATGATTAGTACACGATTCCGACCATTCACTGAGGTTGTGTCTAATCATGTGTGGTAACCATCAAAAGATGCGTTTATGAATGCGGCTCCCAGTGGCCAGTTGAGACAGTTCTGTACGGATCAAGTTTGAAACAAATTGACAGGAGACATATCGTGAATCTCGAGACATCTCGTACACCGATAACGACCAGTTCTCCCTTCTCTCAACGAGTCAGACTAGTTCTAAACTACAGTGGGGTAGTGCAACTATATTAGCCTTGTTCTTATGGATGACAAGCATAATTGCAACCATCATAGGCACAGGCATCCGGGACTAGACCGCGGCCAGGTCTTCCTAGTATTGTATTTCTTGGGGCCGCGTATAACGGCTCGCCTTGACTATCTTCAAGAACACACTTGAGACAACAATAGCTCCCTTTCGGTTGCATATCGCTGCATGAAATCACAAGTTGCATAGCACCGCTTGAAGATCAGTGGAGGCGACCGCTCCTTTGTCAAATCTACTATTTTCGACCTGTGATCAAGTTTACACCCTCAGAGAACGACGGTTCCTATCGTGTTCCCGAACTCAACCGTCAGTGCTGCTAACCACCACAACGAGAAGTTGGAGAACGCCCTGAACCCCTCTTCTCCTCCACCATCTTTCACACACCGCTTTTTGCGTTTTGCCCCTCAATGCGTCCAAACACGGGAACCATATTCGTTTTCGCCGAGCAGAGCCTCATCTTCCGAAGATTCCCATCTTGGACATGGCTCATTGGCATGGTGTCTCGCCCAGGCAACCAGCCACGGTTACGTTGTTCTGTCGTTGATAGGTCAGTTTCCGGTGTTCGGCGAAGAAGATGTAAGTCTGCGATAGCGAGATGCGTATTACTCGCCGAGTTGCTATCTATGCTTGGCGATGATCAACATCGTGATATCTATGGTTATGCATGTTACCCGTTCTGCTAGCTTGCATGGCACTGCGGTTGAAAGGATCAATGTGAGAACGGATAGCTACCCAATCGTATCAGCTGCAGTCCATGCAGTGACTCTACGATCGATGGCGTAGGATTCGAAAGGCGGTGCTCAATCTCGTCATACATTGAGAACGAGCTGCATGCTCACTGTGGCTGTTGACGGACTTGTATGGCCGCTAGAGAATTGATGTGCAAAGATAAGAATTAAGGGTTCTTCATCCAACTATCAGTAATCAGATATGTTTCAAGTGTCTGCCAAATATCAAATTACAACGTGGGACAATGCTTAGTGTGTGAGTATTCCAAGGGCCACGGCAACGGTGTTGATATAATGTCTCTGCTGTCTTGTTGGCATGTATGCAGTGAAGCCGGCGCCACAACATCCTCATCAAACATACATGCACCATAATTGAGGTATTTAGCTATTGACATTCTGTCCTTGTCTGAAGAAGCATATGTCAACTTATCACAGACTGCACTCACGTTGGGCACAGTACAACCTTGTGCCCGATCAAATCACAATGTCCAAGTCTGACACGACAGGTCGGTGATCAGAAACACGAACGCCATCATCAAACCCATTCGCCAGAACCCCAAAAGTCTTTACATGAGCTGTCCTCGGCTCTTGTATGAAGAGGAAGTCAATACGTGAGGGTTCCCACCCCTCCCCGAAGCTCGTGTACGTTGTCTCGTTGCCGTAGTGTTTATGCTTGGGCACCAGGTCCGACACGTCAGAGATGCCTGACCCAGACGCCGTGATGGTCTTGTACGCGCCATCCTCGGGCTCGCTGTTGAAGTCGCCCCCGATGAGCACGGCTGATGCCTTCTTGTCGCCTGCTTGGCCCCATTCTTTCGCGAACTTGATGAGGAGCTCGGCACTGTGCTGGCGGGCCTTGACGCCAATGTGGTCGAAATGCGTGCTGAATACTACGACGCGGGTGCCTGTGACTCGGTGTTCGAATTCTCCCATTGTGACGATTCGGTTAAGGACTGCATCCCAACCGCGTGAGGGCTTCTCGGGTGTCTTGCTCAACCAGCGGACCTCCTTGCGTACGTTCTTCCATACATCATTGCGATAGAAGATAGGAGAAAACTCTCCGTCCTCGGGTTTCTCTCCGCGTCCACGACCAATGTGTTTCCAATGAGAGCCCAGATCCTCCTGGATCTCGTTGACTTGGTGGTTAAGACATTCCTGGAGACAAATAAAGGGGCTTTCATGGCCAGCGGTGACAAAGTTCAGCTGATTGATGAGCTTGGGACGACGTACATCCCAGGGCTTCTCATTATGTTCGCGGTTGTTTGTTGCGTAGCGAACGTTGAAGGTGAGGATTCGCAGAGGCATTCTCTGGTGCTTGGAGAAGACTTCCATGCTCAGAGATGCGGTTGAGGGGATGTCGAGTTGAGTCATTGTGGGGTTTACAGTGGTGATAGTAGAGGCTTATTAAAATGTGATTGTCAGTTAAGAAATCGAGGGAAACTTAGGTAATATCTAGTGGTTTAGCTCTGCGAGGGTAAAGAGGAAGCTGTCGCGATATTGAATGTTTGTGATGAGCGTCGTAAGTCAGGCCCGAGCGGACCTATCCAATGAGGTCATCACGTGGGGATAGTTTGTCTCATGCTGCGATAGGTATGGCGTCTATTTACCCCGGATTTGATGCTGCAGGGATCCTCAGCCACCAATTCTTCTGTCTTGATATAAAGCTTGGTGTATTAATATCTTCAATTCTATAGTTGTAATCTTCGATGTTCTATGAAACCCCATGTAGTTCTTCTTCGGTTTGTGACCTTGCGTCAGCCGATATCTCTGATTTCTGTGGCTAAGTGCGACTTACTGGTGAAAATGAAAATGGGAGGGAAGCACTTCCTCAAGAGAAATCCATCCAGTTTTCTGAGCGTTTACAATTATAGGAGCTATAGCATTACCAGCTTTCTTGGATATCACGAGAAAGTTGGCGTCATTGCATTTTATCGTTGTATTTGGACAACAAGCGAGATGTGTTGCTCGAGGAGCATTAGGTTTTTGGTTGGTCTCCAATATATAGGATATTCTTGTGTAGCCTGTGTTGAGGTTTAAGTGCATCGCAGGATAACATAATGATATTACTCCAATAAAATAATAATGCTACAGTTTGGATGCTCATATCACTTGGCCTTGATGTAAAACACTTGGACAAAAAGGTGATTGGTGTACAAATCACAAGCCAAGGCAACAAAGACTCCCTTCGTGCAAAGCCACCTCTACTTATATCCAAGCACTCTCGTCATACTCCAATGACTCATTGTCTCGTATTAGAGATAAATTATCTTGTGGTAGGAGTAATCTCGTGAGGCTAGCATGCCCAAATAGATCATAGGTAATATCGCCATCTTGTTTGCTGCGGCATGTGATTTGCTATTGGGCATGTGTGCTTTGTAGAGCGTGCAAGATATCTACTATCACGACTTTTTTTAAAGCCCTATTCTTGACTACTGTCAGTTGATATAGTTAAATTCCTTATGTGGATTCAGCAGTCATGTAGTCAAAGCACAAAAGTTGGATCCTGACACGCGAATATGAACGACACTTCCTAAATCTACAGTTTTTACAAAGAAACAATATCTACATGACGGTGTTCTCTTGAAAGGCACATTGATCTGCATACAAGTATCAAATAGAACGTGCGGTAACCGTGCAAGCTCGATGGCCTACAGTTGTCTTGAAGATTCCCACCCTATATCTATCTGGTGGGCTTTGGCTTCCGTCTCGATCATGGTAACGGAACTCTACGACAATATCTCAACCATTTCTTACAACACTAGTATCAGTAAGTAGCTATAGTCCAGTATTTATAAGCTTTCTTTTAGTTGTGAATGATGCAAGTACGTGAATGCCTGTGACAGTAAATTTGTGCTCACATTCAGACCGGACATCTCATATCGCCAAAGAAGACAGGCATCACTGCCCAAACATAGGTTATGATTTTGCGTTTTTCTATTCCCAGTAATTACTGGCTTGCACAATTGGTTGTTGTCTTTGCGTAGTCCTTGAATTGACAGCGCTCTTCAGGTCATAGTGACGACGGATACCATACTTCCTCATCTCCAGGGTTCGAATAGCCCCGACATGTCAAAATAGCTATTGTTCAATAGTTCAAACTCTGACGCCACCGAACTGAAATTGAATTGGGTGTCTTGTTGAACTAATCCATGCATATTCCCGAAGGTGGTGAACAGATTTACCAACGAGGATCGATCGTTGACTACCTTAGTTTGCTCCGCCTTGGCACGGCGAAACGCCATCTTTCCATGGGCACTCATCCATGAATTCGTATCTTCACCTACAAAGCTCCCTTCTCAGTTGGTTCCTTCCAGGTGAACCGCAATCATAGCCAAGCTATAAGGATCCGTCCATCTCTTTACTCGAGTAACTCAAGGATAGCAATCCTGCATGACTCTTACGTACCAGGATCAGAGATTCCACTCACAGTGTGCGGAGTGGATGTGGTAGTCTAGTCGTTTATAGAAGTAAATTCAGTTGGTATATCAAATTACCACGTTGACTCAATCGCACTATGGGCAATACTGTAGCACCTATGCTTAATTTAACGTCGAGAAGCAGAATTGAACCCCAAGGCGCGATGTAGTGGAACTAAGTCTTCCGACTTACAATCTAAGTTCAGACACCATCCATACAAAGAAGACTAGTCGTACGCCAGTCTCGTATACAAGCAGTACTCAGCTTGAGATCTACTACCCAACTGGCTGGCAACCACTTCATTAGAAATCATGGGAGCCTGCATCGCCGGAGATTTATCTCCCACCATTACTAAGGAACTGTCGATTCAGTCCCCATTTTGGTCAAAGTATTGAATGTTCACGCCATGGTAAACGCCAAAGAGATGCTATGTCGTTTGACGGGTAAGAATAAACATTAGCTCAAGGCAACATGCTGCGTTAAAAACCCATCCTTCGCCCTGGTGTCTCTTTTTTAAAGATAAGAACTGCTTTTTATATCTCATTCAGAGACTGGATTCCTATGGAAACGGTCCAAAGTATGAAGCCTTTACTTGCATATTGAAGGACATGCCGCTATAACAGACGAGGTACGGTCAGAGTCAGCTGTGCTATCACAAGGATCTGCAAGCTTATCAGTCGCTTATTACATGGTTTAAAAAACTACCAGTCATAATTGATTGACCCTGGTATAAACCAACTGCGGCTGATGTTGAAGTGTGGCCTCCGAGAAATAGTGGATCCCAATTCGGAGGGTCCCCGGGCCCAGACCCACAATTGCGGCCGTGGCCGGGGTCTTCAACTAGAAAGGGCATATTCCTCGGTGGGTGGGCGTTTCAACTATTGCTTCTAGTCGAAGTTTACTTGCAAACATGTTTTGAATTAGTTACGGGACGCATCGACGCCGGTCGGAACGGCACATGCCCGCTCAAATCCAGGTCTAACGGGAACAGACAAGGTCCCGTCTTATGATGCACGGCTGAACTTTAAGTGATGATTCATTGCTTGATACCTTGTGGTCTCAAAACTGAAGCATTTACACGATAATGACGGTCAAGTTGTGTATTGTTTCGAGGAGAATAGTGGGAGATAACCTATTATCGCCGCGTGTTTCTCAACTTGGAAGTGAAAAAAAGGCGGGTCTAGGCCGGTTGGTGGCTTGGGGGGGCATGGGTGAGGTGATCATAAGACCAGGGAGGTCCACTAGATTGGATCAAAGCAGGATTGGACATTGGAGAATCTGGGGGAGGCTGGCGGACTTTTGCTGATGGGACAATTAGAAATCCATCTTTTTTCTCGAGGCAGCCTACAGAGGACAGGCGCCCGCTCACTACACCCTTTTCTCATTCATAGCATCTCCGGACTTGCGTACTAATCCACGTAATCGTTGATGATCGTCGCAAGGGTCCAACATGCTGTAATTATTGATAGTCTCTAATCAATAGAGGCAGCTCTCGTTTTTGACTCATCACTCTTACCTCACAATCGCATATTACTCAACTCCGTCCTTGACCGAAGCACCCCGTGGCTTAGGCTTGCGACCCTCCAGTTCACAACCCCCAGCTTTCAACTTGATTGCCCTGCAAGTCCGTGGAAAAGTTGGCAGTAAAACAGTAGAAAGCCCCGCGTGCTTGACACCCGACTCAAGCGTGATGGCCCAAATATGGAGTCTTTGCGGATACGCTATCCAAGCTGCAAGGCACCATGCACAACAGACAGGTCCGGATGGCCTCAGTGTGATCGATCTTGCAGGAAATGCCCGATCGTGAATTTGAATCATTGTTAGTTCCTGAAGAGTTCAGCATGACTCCCTCGCCATAGTCCGGCCAGGCCGGTGGAGCTGAGAGACCTGAAGGCACAGTCAGATGAGATGAAATGGCCTTGTTGATGGTGTCGACCATGTCTCACTTGATATAGCACCCTCCGGAGACTGGCACTGACCCCGCGACCGAGTTTGTCAAGGAAATACCATCGTAAATGTCCATGACCAAGCCAACCTCCATGTTCATGTGAGCGAATGAGATGCCATGATTCAAGCCGACTATGGAAGCATCTCACCATCTTTTTTGTTTCTGTCGATCACGGCAGATCGAGTTGGCTGCGCTTTTATGGTTTTTACTGGCGGCTGCAGCGCTAGACCATGGACCCTATGTGCATTTGAGCCTGTTTATCACTACCAACTCGAGCCCGTGGCATCCAATATTGTAGCCAAAAGAGCTGATTTATCGTCAGCCACCAACTTCTCTCAGCTCGTTACTCTTGATTATCAACCCGCTAAATCAACCCATGACTTCCATTTTCAGACCCGGCGCCCCCCGATTATCCTATCGATGGGCCGCGTGGCGTCGTGCGTGCGCGACTCTACAGGTTCGTATTCATCTTGGCTGAATAGCTTCACGTGCGAAGATAGGCAGCCCCGCCTATTGGAGGCCGATGACCACCCATAGTGCTTAGAGTCCTCTGCCTACCACTCACAAGGCCCTCGGGGCTTACAAGAATTCCAAGATATGACTGGGAGATGGACCGCTTTTGGAGATACAGCCCTGTTTTGTGTGTGGGTTCTTGCAGCCCTTTCTTTCTTGGCCCTATTTCGATGCCTTGAAAGGTACCGCACGGCTGATGCCTGTGTCTCAGATAGTATGTGCGCAGTAGGCTATGAATTGGAATGTGAGCTCGTGGGGAGGCTTGTTTACCTGGCTGACTGACTGGTATATAGTTGAGGCGTGCTCGCCCGTTCATTATATCGCCTCTCTGAGTCCTATACCGCCGGCCTTCTTCGTGTTCTGTTCAGTCCTCTCACACAAAGCACAAAGAAACTCTACTGCCTGCGGTGAGTGACTCCAAAGGGTCTTCCATGGAAAAGACGTCAGGGCATCCACTTCCCAGCCTTAAGACAACCGGTCTTTGTTTCGCCTG